TTACAAGGTGGGTAGAAAGCTGGCTAGATTGTCGGGCTCAACGGGTAGTGATCAATGGCTCCATATCTAGTTGGCAGCCGGTATCAAGTGGAGTACCCCAAGGGTCGGTCCTGGGGCCGGTTTTGTTCAATATCTTCATAAATGATCTGGAGGATGGTGTGGATTGCACTCTCAGCAAATTTGCGGATGATACTAAACTGGGAGGAGTGGTAGATACGCTGGAGGGGAGGGATAGGATACAGAAAGACCTAGACAAATTGGAGGATTGGGCCAAAAGAAATCTGATGAGGTTCAATAAGGATAAGTGCAGGGTCCTGCACTTAGGACGGAAGAACCCAATGCACAGCTACAGACTAGGGACCGAATGGCTAGGCAGCAGTTCTGCGGAAAAGGACCTAGGGGTGACAGTGGACGAGAAGCTGGATATGAGTCAGCAGTGTGCCCTTGTTGCCAAGAAGGCCAATGGCATTTTGGGATGTATAAGTAGGGGCATAGCGAGCAGATCGAGGGACGTGATCGTTCCCCTCTATTCGACATTGGTGAGGCCTCATCTGGAGTACTGTGTCCAGTTTTGGGCCCCACACTTCAAGAAGGATGTGGATAAATTGGAGAGAGTCCAGCGAAGGGCAACAAAAATGATTAGGGGACTGGAACACATGAGTTATGAGGAGAGGCTGAGGGAACTGAGATTGTTTAGTCTGCAGAAGAGAAGAATGAGGGGGGATTTGATAGCTGCTTTCAACTACCTGAAAGGGGGTTCCAAAGAGGATGGCTCTAGACTATTCTCAATTGTAGCAGATGACAGAACGAGGAGCAATGGTCTCAAGTTGCAGTGGGGGAGGTTTAGATTGGATATTAGGAAAAACTTTTTCACTAAGAGGGTGGTGAAACACTGGAATGCGTTACCTAGGGAGGTGGTAGAATCTCCTTCCTTAGAGGTTTTTAAGATCAGGCTTGACAAAGCCCTGGCTGGGATGATTTAACTGAGAATTGGTCCTGCTTTGAGCAGGGGGTTGGACTAGATGACCTTCTGGGGTCCCTTCCAACCCTGATATTCTATGATTCTATGATTCTATGATTCATTTTTGTTGCCCTTCGCTGGACTCTCTCCAATTTATCCACATCCTTCTTGTAGTGTGGGGCCCAAAACTGGACACAGTACTCCAGATGAGGCCTCACCAATGTCGAATAGAGGGGAACGATCATGTCCCTCGATCTGCTCGCTATGCCCCTACTTATGCATCTTTATGCATCCGATGAAGTGAGCTGTAGCTCATGAAAGCTTATGCTCAAATAAATTGTTTAGTCTCTAAGGTGCCACAAGTACTCCTTTTCTTTTTGTCTTCTGACAGTGGCCAATGCCAGGTAATCAGAAACAGAACAGGTAATCATCAAGTGATTCACCCCCTGTCGCTCACTCCCAGCTTCTGGCAAACAGAGGCTAGGGACACCACCCCTGCCCATCCTTTCTAATAGCCATTGATGGACCTATCCTCCATGAACTTTTCTAGTTCTTTTTTTAATCTTGTTATAGTCTTGGCCTTTACAACATCCTCTGGCAAGGAGTTCCACAGGTTGACTGTGCATTGTGTGAAAAAAAATACGTCCTTTTGTTTGTTTTAAACCTGCTGTCTATTAATTTCATTTGGTGACTTCTAGTTCGTGTGTTATGAAGAGTATATAACACTTCCTCATTTATTTTCTCCACACCAGTCATGATTTTATAGAGCTCTATAATATCCCCCGTTAGTCGTCTCTTTTGCAAGCTGAAAAGTCCCAGTGTTATTAATCGCTCCTCATATGGAAGCCATTCCATTCTCCTAATCATTTTTGTTGCCCTTTTCCAAACCTTTTCCAGACCTTGGTGAATTGGCATGTAAATAGTTGATCAAATTGTCTTGTGATCTAGATTTGGATTGCTCTTAATTTTTTGATAGCAAAACTGGAGCTGATAATCAGTTAGCAGAAGTGAGGCCCTATTTTGAGGGACTCTTATTTAAAAATCCAAACAAAGTCACCTTCCCAAAATAGTAATTGAGTATAAGTGTTATTTTCTATTGTGATCATGTGATTTGATTCTGAAAATCTGAATGGTTATATTGACCAGTTTTCTAGTCTGTTAACCAAACCAGAGACCAATACTATTTTTGCTTCTTGTTTCCTATACTATTAGTTGCTATTATTAAGGATATTTAATAAACTCTATAAAACTACATTCAACTCTCAAGACCTTTTTCTTTAGTTAAGCAATCAAAATTTAAAGAACCCTAAGAAAGATTGTACAGGTAATCAGTTAAGCAGTCTGGAGAAATATCTCCAGAACCAGAACCTTTACTTATGAAAATCCTCACTCCAGACAAACTGAGACTATCAAATCACTGGGTCAGAGTTATATGGATCAGAGAAGACTGTGTACACTGATTCCTTAACTTGGAACCAGGAACATCTGGTCCCAGAGGTTCAGGTTCAATCACCAAACAGGAGAGTGGATCAGTACACCTGGATTTTGAGAGCTACTTTAAGACCTCTGCATCAAAGTCTCTCAACACCACTGACTCTTCTTTTCTAAGGAGAAGAAAAAGGTATGAAGGCCTCAAGTTAACCAGGATGCAACTGTCTGAACAGAAGAGAATTTCTGTATTCTTGGAGTCTGATCTGAGGACTTTGAGTTAGAGGTCTCCGAGTCCTTAAAAACTGTAAGCCAAACAGACAAAGCCTTCTCCAAGAGTATGGCCTCTCTTCTTGCTTTTAACACCAAGGGCAAAAACTACAAAAGTAAGAGACTCCTTGCAAGATATACCCTTCCACAGAGCATTCCAGGCTCTTAACATCCTAGTCTGTGGCAGACACTATTTCATTAAGTGCAGTGCTTCAAGGTTTCTCCAGATCTACCATAATTAAGGCTACGATTTGGTCATGGATATTTTTAGTAAAAGTCATTGACAGGTCATGGGCAATAAACAAAAATTCACAGAAGCCATGACCTGTCTCTCACTTTTACTAAAAACATCCCTGATAAAATGGGGAAGGAGGAGAGTCCAGCACCCTCCCTCCCCTCACCCCACTCCTGCAGCAGCTGGGAGGTGCAGAGTCCCCATTGCCCTGAGGGGCTGGAATGGAGGGGGTCCCCACACCACCTCTGCTGGCGGCTGGGGAGTTGTGGGGGGCCCCTTCCAGCGGCCACTGAGTAGCTCCGGGATCCCTCTGCTGCTGGCGGTGGCAGCTGGGCATCTCAGGGGTCCCCGGAGGCGGCCAGTCAGTTGCAGGGGGTCCTGACGCCTGTTGGGCTGCTGCAGGGGTTCCCTGCTGTTTGTGTGAGCGTGCTCAGTACACCCGAAGTTGCAAATTCAGTCAGATAGTTTTTCACACTACACAGCAGCTGGTCAGTTGCGGAGCCCGCAATGTCACGGAGGTCACTGGAAATCAAGATTCTGTGACTTCCTCGACCTCCGTGACATAATCATAGTCTCAACTATAATTAAATCCTTATCATAATCTCATTTAATCACTTGAACTACTCCCTACTGAATAACTGGTAGTATTAAACTAAATTACATAATCAGGGATAAGAAAATTGTTTAAAAAACTTCTTTAGAAGTGAAAAGCTGGGACATGAGAACAGGTAGGAGGCAGAGCCTTTGATAACTTCAGCTGAAATTTCAGAATGGGGAATCAAAGGGTGAATACCCTCTATCAGCTAAACCAAATTGCCAGATTGCATGTCATGACAAATAGCTCGTAAGAGGGGAATTTGCAGAGGCAATTTCAAGAAAGGGAACCTATGAAGATGGCCAGTTCTGAAAGGCAGACAGTAAGATTGCCCTTGGTCACTTTCAGTATAATAAGAAAATTATCTCTCTGTCAAGAAACAAACATAATTTGAATATGACCCATAAACAATTACGTCAACCTATAGTAACATCAGTACTAAAATTCAAGGGCATTAGTTTCACAACAAAAATAAACCAGCAATTCTACAACCTTCTTCAAAGAAAGATACAGTTATACTACAAAGTGATTCAGAGTAAAGGGTTTCATCGATCTTTCAATGGCAATTTTCAAATCTACTCCTCAGAATCAGGAAGTACAATTTGTAAATCACAATCCAGTACCATTGCAGATGCACTATTGGATCCCATATGCTAAAGTTATAAAGCATGATGCATAACTATCACACATTTAAACAGCAGTTTGGGGAAACATCAGAAGCTATGAAAAGTGTAACTTATTTTTGCTGACAAATATTAATTGCTCCATGTTAACAATTTTTGAACCATTATTAAGAAGAAAAAATAGCACACTAATGTATCAACAACATCTGTACAAAGTGGATGTTCTTCTAGACATAAAACAAATTCTTACACCGTAAGGGGAGGAAAGCAATTTTCCAAAGAGAACATTTATTATTAAATTTCTAAATTGCTGCCATGACACAGTGGGGAAGCAAATCAGAAGTTGCCTCCAGCAAGTCTGAAGTGTGATTAGTCTCTGCAGCTATTGGCTAATTGGAGTTCTACATTTGTTGTATTACCTCTGGGTCTAAATCATTTTGTTTTAGCAGAACCAGGCGGCCAGCATGGGATCCTCTGGGACATTGTAATGTCTTTGGAGCAGGCCAGCTTTTTTTTTTTTTTTTCCGTCAGTGCAGTACGATGACAAAGGGATTCTGACAGTGCTTTTCCATTGGTTATGCCTATACCAAAAGCATAACAGGTTGGACAACCCTAAGTTATTTAGCTGACATTATATCTGGCATATACCAGGTTAGTCTGTCTTTTATAAACTGAGCTGAGGCTGTGAATGCTACATACAGATACATTTGATATGTGATGATTTGATCTGGAAATTAATGTGGCAGACAAAGTACACTGAAAATATGATGACCCCTTCGGATTTACACCAATGTGCAATTCCAAATTTTCACTGGTATAACCAAGACCGGAATCTGGCCCTGAGTGTTCAGGAACCTACATGATGTTATACTTCACCTAAGTACTCACCATTATCTTGAAGGATATAAGTTATTGCTCTTATATTTTGCATCACTTTTATGGGTTTGTTAGAAAAATTAATCTTCTCTTGAGTCTGTTCTCTCTTTTCCTTTCTCTTTGGAGGCTGAGGAGATGACACCATGTCCCCTGCGTCACGGGAGCCAACAGTAGATTTAGATTGGCGATCATTTCCCTAAGAAAAGTAATTCAGAATTTTCATTGGTGAATACAGGATAGATTTTTTTTTAAGGTTTCAGAGTAGCAGCCGTGTTAGTCTGTATTCACAAAAAGAAAAGGAGGACTTGTGGCACCTTAGAGACTAACAAATTTATTTGAGCATAAGCTTTCGTGAGCTACAGCTCACTTCATCAGATGCATTCAGTGGAAAATACAGTGGGGAGATTTATATACACAGAGAACATGAAACTATGGGTGTTACCATACACACTGTAACCAGAGTGATCACTTAAGGTGAGCGATTACCAGTAGGAGAGCAGGGGGAGGTGGGGGAGGAACCTTTTGTAGTGATAATCAAGGTGGGCCATTTCCAGCAGTTGACAAGAACATCTGAGGAACAGTGGGGGGGCGGGGGGGGAATAAACGTGGGGAAATAGTTTTACTTTGTGTAATGACCCATCCACTCCCAGTCTCTATTCAAGCCTAAGCTAATTGTATCCAGTTTGCATATTATCTATCAAGCATTCTTACAACTACAATACCCACCTGCTGAAGTGAAGAAACAATTGACAGAGCCAGAAGAGTACCCAGAAGTCACCCACTACAGGACAGGCCCAACAAAGAAAATAACAGAATGCCACTAGCCATCACCTTCAGCCCCCAACTAAAACCTCTCCAAAGCATCATTAAGGATCTACAACCTATCCTGAAGGATGACCCATCACACTCACAGATCTTGGGAGACAGGCCAGTCCTTGCTTACAGACAGCCCCCCAACCTGAAGCAAATACTCACCAGCAACCACACACCACACAACAGAACCACTAACCCAGGAACCTATCCTTGCAACAAAGCCCATTGCCAACTGTGTCCACATATCTATTCAGGAGACACCATCATAGGACCTAATCACATCAGCCACACTATCAGAGGCTCGTTCACCTGCACATCCACCAATGTGATATATGCCATCATGTGCCAGCAATGCCCCTCTGCCATGTACATTGGTCAAACTGGACAGTCTCCACGTAAAAGAATAAATGGGCACAAATCAGACATCAACAATTATAACATTCAAAAACCAGTTGGAGAACACTTCAATCTCTTTGGTCACTCGATTACAGACCTAAAAGTTGCAATTCTTCAACAAAAAAACTTCAAAAACAGACTCCAACAAGAGACTGCTGAATTGGAATTAATTTGCAAACTGGATACAATTAACTTAGGCTTGAATAGAGACTCGGAGTGGATGGGTTATTACACAAAGTAAAGATATTTCCCCATGTTTATTCCCCCCCCCCCCCCCCGCACACACACACACTGTTCCTCAGACGTTCTTGTCAACTGCTGGAAATGGCCCACTTTGATTATCACGACAAAAGGTGTCGTCCCGTCCCATTTCTCCCCCCACCCCCTCGCTGGTAATAGCTCACCTTACCTGATCACTCTGGTTACAGGGTGTATGGTAACACTCATTGTTTCATGTTCTCTGTGTATATAAATCTCCCCACTGTATTTTCCACTGAATGCATCCGATGAAGTGAGCTGTAGCTCACGAAAGCTTAGGCTCAAATAAATTGGTTAGTCTCTGAGGTGCCACAAGTCCTCCTTTTCTTTTTGCGATTTTTTTTAAGTTTCACTGTAAGCTACCTAACTCATAGTTTATACAGCCAACAAGTATAAAAACAGACATATTCACAAGCTACCAGTGCTTTTAGATAATATCTAAAATAATCCAAGAAACCCTAACCTTTCATCAACCTGTTGTCAACTCAAAAAAGAAAAAAGGCAGTTCACTTAACTCAATTAATGCTGTGAATTTCCTGAGGAAAATCAGGCATGCCCTCTTTGATACAAGATTCATTCATGTGAATTAATCCATGCATACACACATAGCTGTATTTCCTGTATGCATAGACATATATAAAGTCATTGGATGTTCATAACCAATGCTATTGGTAAATAATTGATCACATGACCAAAACTACATTTGTATGTTGTTCTCCTAAGTGGCAACAGCACATGGCAGAGGCACTGGCAGATATCTGGCATTAGCACTGATGTTTTTCACTGTAGACACCCTGAAAGAGGCCTGCTGCTTCTGAATCACCTCTCCATTTTGCCTCGAGAAACTAAGCTGTGGATCTGGCCCCATGTCTTCTTATGGAGACTTACCATGGCAAATTCAGAAGACATATTTGAAAGTCATCTTTGAAGGAAGGCAAAATGACACAATAATGCATATTAAAGGGATATCTAGAAGCTGATTTTCACAGGAGCCCAGTCCCTCACACCTCCCACTGACTTCATTTGGAGTTGTGTCAACCTAATAATTTTCTCTAATTAAGCAGCATGCACTTTTTCCCTTTAATTAACCACATTTAAGTTTAACACAATCTTTAGCTTGAAAAAAATGTGATTTCCACGTGTTTTTTCCTTAGTTTAAACCAGTTCACAATAATTTTTATTAAAATTATACCATAAATATGTATGCAGCATACATTACATATCTCAGACACATACAATGCCATTTAGTTAAATCACAAAGGACAAGTAAATTCCACTCGGCACTTTCACTGGGTGCAGCTGTTTGAACAATTTCCAAAATACCTCTGAACAACATACTAATCCACAGAGGTCTCCCTGCCAACACTACAGAAAGAGGGATTCTAGATGGACTCCTCCTGAAGGTCGAAACAGCAGACTGGACTTCTACATAGAGTGCTTCTGCCGACGTGCACGGGCTGAAATTGTGGAAAAGCAGCATCACTTGCCCCACAACCTCAGCCATGCGGAACGCAATGCCATCCACAGCCTCAGAAACAACTCTGACATCATAATCAAAAAGGCTGACAAAGGAGGTGCTGTTGTCATCATGAATAGGTCGGAATATGAACAAGAGGCTGCTCGGCAGCTCTCCAACACGAGTTTCTACAAGCCATTACCCTCTGATCCCACTGAGAGTTACCAAAAGCAACTACAGCATTTGCTCAAGAAACTTCCTGAAAAAGCACAAGATCAAATCCGCACAGACACACCCCTGGAACCCCGACCTGGGATATTCTATCTACTACCCAAGATCCATAAACCTGGAAATCCTGGGCGCCCCATCATCTCAGGCATTGGCACCCTGACAGCAGGATTGTCTGGCTATGTAGACTCCCTCCTCAGGCCCTACGCTACCAGCACTCCCAGCTACCTTCGAGACACCACTGACTTCCTGAGGAAACTTCAATCCATCGGTGATCTTCCTGATAACACCATCCTGGCTACTATGGATGTAGAAGCCCTCTACACCAACATTCCACACAAAGATGGACTACAAGCCGTCAAGAACACTATCCCCGATAATGTCACGGCTAACATGGTGGCTGAACTTTGTGACTTTGTCCTTACCCATAACTATTTCACATTTGGGGACAATGTATACCTTCAGATCAGCGGCACTGCTATGGGTACCCGCATGGCCCCACAGTATGCCAACATTTGTATGGCTGATTTAGAACAACGCTTCCTCAGCTCTCGTCCCCTAAAGCCCCTACTCTACTTGCGCTATATTGATGACATCTTCATCATCTGGACCCATGGAAAAGAAGCCCTTGAGGAATTCCACCATGATTTCAACAATTTCCATCCCACCACCAACCTCAGCCTGGTCCAGTCCACACAAGAGATCCACTTCCTGGACACTACAGTGCTAATAAACAATGGCCACATAAACACCACCCTATACCGGAAACCTACTGACCGCTATTCCTACCTGCATGCCTCCAGCTTTCACCCTGACCACACCACACGATCCATCGTCTACAGCCAAGCTCTGCGATACAACCGCATTTGCTCCAACCCCTCAGACAGAGACAAACACCTACAAGATCTCTGTCAAGCTTTCTTACAACTACAATACCCACCTGCAGAAGTAAAGAAACAGATTGATAGAGCCAGAAGAGTTCCCAGAAGTTACCTACTACAGGACAGGCCTAACAAAGAAAATAACAGAACGCCACTAGCGGTCACCTTCAGCCCCCAACTAAAACCCCTCCAACGCATTATTAAGGATCTACAACCTATCCTAAACGATGACCCTACACTCTCACAAGTCTTGGGAGACAGGCCAGTCCTTGCCTACAGACAGCCCCCCAACCTGAAGCAAATACTCACCAACAACCACATACCACACAACAGAACCACTAACCCAGGAACTTATCCTTGCAACAAAGCCCGTTGCCAATTGTGCCCACATATCTATTCAGGGGACACCATCACAGGGCCTAATAACATCAGCCACACTATCAGAGGCTCGTTCACCTGCACATCCACCAATGTGATATATGCCATCATGTGCCAGCAATGCCCCTCTGCCATGTACATTGCTCAAACTGGACAGTCTCTACGTAAAAGAATAAATGGACACAAATCAGATGTCAAGAATTATAACATTCATAAACCAGTCGGAGAACACTTCAATCTCTCTGGTCACGCAATCACAGACATGAAGGTCGCTATCTTAAAACAAAAAAACTTCAAATCCAGACTCCAGCGAGAAACTGCTGAATTGGAATTCATTTGCAAATTGGATACTATTAATTTAGGCTTAAATAGAGACTGGGAGTGGCTAAGTCATTATGCAAGGTAGCCTGTTTCCTCTTGTTTTTTTTTCCTACCCCCCCCCAGATGTTCTGGTTTAACTTGGATTTAAACTTGGAGAGTGGTCAGTTTAGATGAGCTATTACCAGCAGGAGAGTGAGTTTGTGTGTGTATGGGGGTGGGGGGGAAGTGAGAAAACCTGGATCTATGCAGGAAATAGCCCGACTTGATTATGTAAAGAGTTGTCACTTTGGATGGGCTAGCACCAGCAGGAGAGTGAATTTGTGTGGGGGGGTGGAGGGTGAGAAAACCTGGATTTGTGCTGGAAATGGCCCACCTGTTGATCACTTTAGATAAGCTGTTACCAGCAGGACAGTGGGGTGAGAGGAGGTATTGTTTCATATTCTCTGTGTGTATATAAAGTCTGCTGCAGTTTCCACGGTATGCATCTGATGAAGTGAGCTGTAGCTCACGAAAGCTCATGCTCAAATAAATTAGTTAGTCTCTAAGGTGCCACAAGTACTCCTTTTCTTTTTGCGAATACAGACTAACACGGCTGTTCCTCTGAAACCTGTCATTTAAATCTTGGACACTAGAGGGCCCTGTAATTCTACAAAGTGCCAACGTGGGCGGACTAGACAAGGACAGCATGTTTTTTCCCCGCTGCTGCAGTTGAGAGGCAATACCTGTCTTTAACATAGGTCTCAGGACTGACTTCACTACAATAACCTTTGCTTTAACAAAATCCCATACGTATTATGCACACTAGCATTTTTTTAAATAAAAACAACAGGTTCACTGTGATTCTTCTGATTTTTATTTAGTCAGTAGAAATGTCACCTTGTTTCATTTAAAGATGGCTTTTTAGTTTACTGAAGAATGAACGATATAGCCACATTTCAACTTTTCTTTCAGTGCCTACGGATTCCAAAATTCATAACATATTAGAGAGTGCTGGTCCATATCAGCACCAGCAGCAAAACTTTAGGTGCCCATTAAGGCCAATGGAATTACAATGATATACACTAGCTGAGAATCTTGCCTCAGATCATTAATATCAATACTGCACATTCCTAGAAAGTCTTTACATATATTAAAATGTCTACTGTGCATCAATGTGTCAACTGTGAATTTTTTTAATCTTGTCTGCATTACTTCTCTACATGGGATACAACCATAAAGCAGATAAATTCTGAATGTTAGCCTTTATTCTTGTTACCTTTTCTCACTTTTTTTTTTCCAGACTTGTTATGATTAAATCAGACTAATAAAAAAAAGCTAGACTGCTGAAATTTACATACAGTGAACAAAACAAGGAAACTGAACTTTATACTGATGTTTGTATCTTCTATTGAATTTAAACTGAATTGAGTGGAGGCTTTTTTTTTTTCCAATTGTTTCATATTTTCTTTGTGTTCCATTAGGAGTTCTTTTTGGGAGGGGGTGGGGAGGGGGGAAATAGACTACAGGGTTTATGCTTATAGACTGTGGGCCTGATTTTCCACTCCCTTCAATGTCTGTGGTCATTTACCTCTTTGCACAGTGAATGCAAGCAGGGAATAAAATACTACCATTCTGATCTGGCAGCATTTTATACCCACTCTGCACAGATGTGCAGGTCAGACTAGGTGATCATGATGGTCCCTTCCGGACTTAAAGTCTATGAGTCCGTGAGATGTAAATGGCTATACAGGGTGTAAGGCAGTAGAGAATCGGGCTGTGAAGGATTCCTAGAGCATTGGACAGGCAACTCTTTTACGACCTGATTCAAAGCCCATTGAAGACCATGAAAAGACTCCCACTGTCTTCACTGGCCTTTGTATGAAGTCTTGATTGTGTATTTTCCTTAGTTGCATAAACTGAATTAGAAAAAGAGTCAAAACTTACAAGGATAGTTTACCAGAATTATGAGAAATATCTCAAAGCAACACTTGGTCTTTGGCTGTGTTCCAGAGGATGTTGTACAAAATAAAGAGGCCATTACAGCAACAATATTTTCTGATATATCTTTTGTCTAATTGACATGTGAATAGTTCCATATTCTTCAAGCAGTAATAAATATACCACCAGGTGGCTCTGGGTTTTATTATCACACGTTTAATTGAAACCCAAAGAATGGTGACTTTCCACCTGTTGGAATGAAGCACAGTTAGCAGCAAAAATCTTATTGTGACATTTGCTACTTACACTCCCTTTAGATTTTCGGGATCCCACAACAGGAGGCAGTGAAGAGGCTTTGGAACTGCAGAAACAAATAATACCTTAGGATTCTAAACACAGTCTATAATGTAAACACTATATGTGCCTTTATTATAATAAACAATGGTTTGTTTACCTAACTATGGCAACACAGTTAATTATTTTATCCAATCTACTATTTTACTAAGAAATCCCACTGATACCAATGTCAATTTCCTATTTACTAGGTTGCAGTTAAATGCCTAATCTTTAATTTGTGCAAACAAATGTATTGTAATTCCCATAATGTATACTTCAGGGGTTCTCAACCAGGGGTATGTGTACCCCTGGGGTATGCAGAGATCTTCCAGGGGGTACATCAGCTCATCTAGATATTTGCCTAGTTTTACAACAGACTACATAAAAAGCACTAGCGAAGTCAGTACAGACTAAAATTTCATACAGACAATGACTTGTTTATACAGCTCTGTATACTATACACTGAAATGTAAGTACAATATTTATATTCCACTTGATTTATTTTATAATTATATGGTAACATGAGAAAGTCAGCAATTTTTCAGTAACAGTGTGCTGCGACACCTTTGTATTTTTAAGTCTGATTTTGTAAGCAAGTAGTTTGTAAGTGAGGTGAAACTTGAGGGTACACAAGACAAATCAGACTCCTGAAAGGGGTACAGTAGTCTGGAAAGGTTGAGAACCACTGGTATACTATATATCCTGAAAAATGTGAGGAGATATTCTGTTAATCTGTGCAAGATCCCCCTGGCACCTATAATTCAGAGTATCTTCATTGACTTCAGTGGAGCAATGCCGATTTACACCAGCTGAGGATCTAGCTCAATTTCCCTTGGGCTACACCTACACAATGAGCTAGGGGTCGATTCCCCTGCTCGTGCACACATACTCCCGTTAGGTCTCATTGGTGGGTATGTACTTGGCACTGCTCAGCCATGCCTCCACTACCACTACCCATGCTACCAGAGCTACGCTGCTCTTTATACTCACGCTAGCTCGGTGACAACTAGCGCAAGTATAGGTACACCAACAGGGGAAATCACACACCTAGCTCGTAGCATAGACATAGCCTTAGGCTATGCTTTGCACTACCTTTCCATTAGTGCCTCAAAAGTGTTTTCCCCAGAATATTTTGGGTTACTAATTCTCTCTGTATACAGTTCACTAAAGTCAGTATGTATTGTACTGGGGTTAATTTGTAAAATACAAGACAAATTCTGATATCACATCAGTTTCTCACTGGCACACGTCCAGTGATCTCAGTGGAATTATTCCTGATCTAGACCAGAGAAAGAGAGAGAATTGGGTCCACGTTTTTCTAAAGAATTTAAAAGATCGGTCCAATTTTTAAATTACAGTGATCCATCAGATACCCCTTATGAGCTCAATCTTGCAAACATTACCAGTGTAGTGCTTATTACCATGTATAGTCCCATGGAACTCAACGGGACTACTAATCGTATTTTTGCACCAAACCCCACAGTGGTTGTAGGATCAGGCCCTAAAAGAATACTCATGTGACGGGGCACTGGCTGGTCATTGGTGAACAAATGGTTAACTCCAGCTCAGCTCCCTTTTCTCCTTGCACAGGTAGTCAGGGGAAGGGCTGGAAGAGTGTGTAGTTGGGAAACAAAGTGGGGTGAGGGGGAAAGAATACCTTTAAGGAAGGTCATGCTCCACACCTGAGTCCTAGAACTGGCTTACAGCACCTTTTAAAAGAATGCATGCTCCGCACACCATACAAAATATAATGGCCCTCAGCCATTGTAAATCAGCATAGTTCCATTGAAGACCACAGAGCTATGTGGATTAACACCAGTAGAGGAAAAATCTGGATGGGCAGGGCTGAGCCAGAGAATCTCTCTCACGGTGTTCATGTTGTGGTACATAATCTCTCACTTTAATGGTACTTTTATGAGAGAAACACATCCTCCCTTCCTCTCAGTTTCCTTCCTCTCTCTGTTAATCTTTGTCCCCTTTTCTTTCTTATGGACTTCAACACAGGTTTTTCAAAAAATATAAATAAAGGTCTACTTCTGTGTTACATTTTGTGCGTCTCAAATAATGATTTGTGTTTTATTGAGTTTGGTTTGTAAACACAATGACACAAGTAGTATGAAAACACACACACATATAAAGAAAGCTTACCCCTGAGGTCTTCTTATTGTAGACTTGCTAAACAGTAGATCACCATAAGGCAACTTCTTAAACCTGTCTCTGCCCACTGCGACATAGAACTGCCCATTCTCCAGATCTGACCCACTCTGAACAAGTTTTCCATCTAAAGTATAAAGCCTGGCAAAACATTAATTGCAGTTTCAATTAGATTTCCTAAGTGCATTGAAAAGCTAGAGTAACCTATCCACTTAAAAATCATGACTGATTCTTTTCATCCTTAATTTACTGGACTTCAAATGCAGAGCTATAACAGTTGTCATACAAATACCGCTATCTCCCCAAAGAATCAAATACAAGGAAAGAAATATCCAAGTAACCATCCACATCACAACTTGGATCAAGCCTCATGGTACTTGGGATCCAAGCAGGTGAGCAGAGAAATCGAATTTGGGACTGAATTGTCATGGGTGAACTGTGACAGCTAATGAAACAAAAACTATTGGAAGCAGATAGAGGGTTTCCTCTATCCAGTAACTGGAATAAGTATAAGAACTACTGGATTTCTGTACTCACAGAAACGTTATTCTCACTATGCTCTGCTCTCTAGAGCTACATGTGATCTATTACACTGGCTCTCAACCTTTTTCTTTCCAGGACCTTCTTTTCCAGGATCCACTTCCTGTTCAGCTACATGGAAAAGGCAGGTAGGTCATCATCCCAAGATTCAGAACTCATTGTCTATTCATTTCAAGTGTGAACATAATTATGTGTAGTACTTTTATTCACACAGGGTATCTATGCTGGGATTTTTTTGTTCTGGTGGGTATTGTTAATATATTATCAGGTCACTTTTACATTATAGTAGTGTTTCTCTGCTGGGTTTTTTTTGTTCTGGTGGGTTAATATATTATCAGGTCACCTTTAGATTATAGTAGTGTTTCTCAAACTGGGGTCCGCAGACCCCTGGAGGTCCCAAAGGGTGCCCCAGGGGGTCTGCGGGCCCGTTGATCAACGCCTCGCCCTCTCTCCTGGCAAGGGGTCTCCGTGCACTGCCCACTACCCGGGCGCTGACTCCACAGCTCCCATTGGCCGGGAACTGCAGCCAATGGGAGCTTGGGAGTGGTGCCTGCGGGAAGGGGCAGTGTGCGGAGACCCCTGGCCCCCCCACCTAGGAACTGCTACCAGAGAGATGTGTCAGTCGCTTTCTGGAGCCGCCTGAGTTCCCAGAGTCCCTCCCGGAGTCCACACCCTGCACCCCAATCCCGTAGTGAAAGCCTGGTGAAAGTGAGTGATGGTGGGGGAGAACGAGCAACAGAGGGAGGGGGGATGGAGTGAGCGGAGCCGGGGCCTCGGAAAAGGGGCGGAGAAGGGGCATGGCCTCGGGAAAGGGATCAGGGCGAGGGGTGGCTTGGGGGTCCTCAAAAAATTTTAAATCAAAATGGGGGTTCTTGGGTTGCTAATGTTTGAGAACTACTACATTATAGCAAGGAACAGTATGTAAAAACAATTAAAATACCAAGAGCTTATGTCTGTTGGAATCTTTACCATAATAATCTCGGTATACAGAGTAACAGATTATTGTGTCTACACATGCATTTACTGAGGGTGAAGGAAGAAACTCGTTGCTTGGGGGGTTTCTATTTCTCTTCTGTCAGAATCACCTTATTTCTAAGTCTCTGATTTTATACAAGAAAGACCACAAGGGCAGAGGGGGAATCACTCTATATTGACCAGGTTCTACCCTGTGCAGCACATTCCACAACTCAACAACAGGAGCATGTTTACATAATTAAATTTACATTCAAACATCTGTATTTAAGAAGCCTTCTAGAGGGCACGTGCATGTATCACATTTGGGGTCAATGTATACCTTCAAACCAGCGGCACTGCTATGGGTACCCGCATGGCCCCACAGTATGCCAACAGTTTTATGGCTGACTTAGAACAACGCTTCCTCAGCTCTCGTCCCCTAATGCCCCTACTCTACTTGCACTATATTGATGACATCTTCATCATCTGGACCCATGGAAAAGAAGCCCTTGAGGAATTCCACCATGATTTCAACAATTTCCATCCCACATCAACCTCAGCCTGGATCAGTCCACACAAGAGATCCACTTCCTGGACACTAAGTGCTAATAAACAATGGCCACATAAACACCACCCTATACCGGAAACCTACTGACTGCTATGCCTACCTACATGCCTCCAGCTTTCACCCTGACCACACCACACGATCCATTGTCTACAGCCAAGCTCTACAATACAACCGCATTTACTCCAACCCCTCAGACAGAGACAAACAGGTACAAGATCTCTATCAAGCATTCTTACAACTACAATACCCACCTGCGGAAGTGAAGAAACAGATTGACAGAGCCAGAAAAGTACCCAGAAGTCACCTACTACAAGACAGGCCCAACAAAGATAATAACAGAACGCCACTAGCCATCATCTTCAGCCCCCAACTAAAACCTCTCCAAAGCATCATCAAGGATCTACAACCTATCCTGAAGGACGACCCATCACTCTCACAGATCTTGGGAGACAGGCCAGTCCTTGCTTACAGACAGCCCCCCAACCTGAAGCAAATACTCACCAGCAACCACACACCACACAACAGAACCACTAACCCAGGAACCTATCCTTGCAACAAAGCCCGTTGCCAACTGTGTCCACATATCTATTCAGGGGACACCATCATAGGGCCTAATTACATCAGCCACACTATCAGAGGCTCGTTCACCTGCACATCTACCAATGCGATATATGCCATCATGTGCCAGCAATGCCCCTCTGCCATGTACATTGGTCACACTGGACAGTCTCTACGTAAAAGAATAAATGGACACAAATCAGATGTCAAGAATTATAACATTCATAAACCAGTCGGAGAACACTTCAATTTCTCTGGTCACTCGATTACAGACCTAAAAGTCGCAATATTACAACAAAAACACTTCAAAAACAGACTCCAACGAGAGACTGCTGAATTGGAATTAATTTGCAAACTGGATACAATTAACTTAGGCTTGACTAGAGACTGGGAGTGGATGGGTCATTACACAAAGTAAAACTATTTCCCCATGTTTATTCCCCCCCTCCACCCTCCAGTGTTCCTCAGACGTTCTTGTCAACTGCTGGAAATGGCCCACCTTGATTATCGCTACAAAAAATTTCTCCCCCTCCTCCCCACCGCTCTCCTGCTGGTATTAACTCATCTTAAGGGATCACTCTCCTTACAGTGTGTATAACACCCATTGTTTCACGTTCTCTGTGTATATAAATCTCCCCACTGTATTTTCCACTGAATGCATCCGATGAAGTGAGCTGTAGCTCATGAAAACTTATGCTCAAATAAATTTGTTAGTCTCTAAGGTGCCACAAGTACTCCTTTTCTTTTTGCGAATATACTGACACAAGCAAATATTATTAATTTCTCAACAAGGCCACCTCAACAAGCTTTTTCCCAAATGATATATACAGATATGTGCAAGATGACAGAGCTGAGCAAAGTCAGAAAGTTCTGTATTTTATAAAAGAGAAAAAGCTACTTTTCCCCGTAATTCTTTTTACACTAACTTCCAAGAGTCAGTATTAGTCAGATGAATCCATTGCCGTTAGAGGCCAGACACACACTTTGTTTAATCTTGCATGAAATTAAAAAAAAGGCACAATTTGCAAAAACACTCTGACATATTCGTGTAACCCATAATGCATTATTAATCCCCCCAGATGTGGAAGTTCCTCCGTTTTCTAGGTGTAACAAATTGTATACTAACATAGGCAACTTTTTAATTCTATTTTATATGAATACCAATCTCAGCTTTTAAAAAATAAGAATGACTTTGCTGTTTCCTTGCATATCTAGTATGTCATCCCAAATGCACTTCCATTACTACAAAGTATACTTAGTGGTTATTTTTTAAATACAAACATTTAATGGTAATGGCAGCACTTGAAAAAACACTTATGCTTCATTGCCACATAAAAGCCACCAGTAATGATGAAACATTAATGAGCAAACAAGCCCACAAAGACAAGGAAACCTAAAATCAATAAGGAAACTCATTTCTGAATTCACCTCATTGTGTTTGTTAGACCACACAATGCTTGGAGAACCCTGGAAAACAGGAAAATTAATAAAAAGAAAAGGAGTACTGGTGGCTCCTTAGAGACTAACCAATTAACTAACCAACTAACTAACCAACTAACCAGGAAAATTAATGTAGTTTAGGAAATAGAACTCTCCCATATAAATGTCAGTGGGTGTGGATATGGGTGTATTAAATAGATCTTTAACGTTGTCTAATGTATACTTTTATGCTTTAAATGCCATTTTTGTTGTTCTTTTTCAATGTTGTCAGCCTAATGAACCACCTGAAAACCTTAACAACAAATATCTGGCAGCCTCTAGTTAAGTTTCTCACTAAAAATAATAAAGCCTGATAATTGAATTAAACATAATCAGCTGTTTAAAGTGAAAACAATAACAACAATGCATTTAGCAAAGGAACTTGATTAAAAAAAATTATTAGACCTGCCAAGTATCACATACGTTGTGTGACATTCATGCCTACAGCTTTTTCCCCATCCACCCAGTCATACCTGCCCACAGCCCAGCTGGTTTCTCATGTATCCCTGTTAGGCATCAGAGATACCTCTGCAGTGATTCCTTCTGGGGGATGCTGGGGCAGCTACTCTGCAGAGGGCCTCACTCTCTGCTTCCCTTCCTGCATCTGAGCCAGAGGTGGTGGCAGGGACATAAAGCGAAGCATTGGTGCCTAGGCTTCTTGCCTTCCACAACCTTGCCCACCCATCCAGCTGCTTCAGGCTCCCAATTACCACCTCCCTCTTCCCCTCACCTTGCCTAGATATGCCTCACTTCATCACCAACTCCCCCAACCAACTCACCTGTCCTGGCATACACCTCTCCCCCCCATGCCACACCTTCCCCCTCACCTCCAGGCACCCTGTACCTCCCCACCAGAGGCCCCTCAGGCACAGGCGATGCATGGGGGGGGCGGGGCAAAGAGGGTCAAATGGTCCCCTTCCAGATTTTTGCTTGGTCTGCTGGGTGGAGAGAGAGGGGCTCTGTCCTTCTCCCACTGCACCTGTCCCCCAGCACACTCAGCCCCTGTCCCTGGCAGCCGGGCCCAGGTAGGGAGCAGAGGAGGCAGGACCAGCCACTTCCCACACCCACCACTCCGGGTCACTGCTTTGTGCAACACAGCAGCAGCCTGCAAGAGCCTGGCTGGGGAGATGGCGGCAGTGGGCCACCCCCAGCTCGGGCCCGGGTGGAATGTGCCAGGGGGCAGGCACAGCAGGAGAAGGACAGAGTCGTCCCCCCTCCTGGAGGTAACTCTGGTTGGGCTGGGAGAGCGTGGTCAGGGCTGTCCCTAGCTATTCTGGGGCCCTACACAGCACTCCCCTCGGGGGGAGTTGGTGCGGGACTGGCTCCAGGCCTCCGCCGGGGTGGGGGGGGGCCTGGCTGGCTTGAGGGGCAGGAGGGAACCGCCCCCCAGCACTCATCAGCGGCGCAGCTGGGGCCAGGTCACTGCACTTCCTGCAGCCAGTGAGTGCAGGCCCAGTCCTGCTTCAGTCCTCAGGGGCGGGAAGAAGTGGGAAAGGGGCAGGGCTGGAGTGGAGCAGGGGTGGGAAGAGGCGGGGCTGGGGCGGAGCAGGGGCGGGGGCCCGGGGAAGAGGTGGAGCAGGGGCTGGATCAGCATGCAGCTGTGCAGGGCACCAGGAAATTTGGTGTCCCAAATTTCCTGGTGCCCTACGCAGTTGCGTACTTTGCGTATGGGTAAGGGCGGCCCTGAGCGTGGTGGCCCCAGGTTGGGGTCAGGACAGGAGAGGTTGCTGGGCAAAGGAGACAAATGGGGCGGTCACATGTCCTCCCCCTTAGATTGTGCCCCTCCTGCCAGCATTAGGAGGCATGCGTTGTTTACGTCAGGTACTGCAGATAGGTTCCCATCTACCTCTCTCATAGACTCCCCTTCTTCCACTGCTCTGCACATATTTGTTTGTGATTCCCCTCCTTCCTGCACCTGCCACCGCTCCTGGGGAGTGTGGCAGGGAGAATCAGTGACTTGATAAATGTCATGCATGAAACTACACAAAACTTGGCAGCTATGTTGTTAATGATGCGGAAAAGAAAAACACCACACATGTAGTGTCATTCTCATAATTCTGTTTTTTCTTGTTTAATAAGAAGTTATATCTTTCTGGCATCAATGGTCTCACAGGATGACAACACAGTGACTGTAAACCACAGCAATTAATTTGTAACTTATTAAGGAACAATGATCACTTTACTAACTAATTTAATATGTACTCCTAGCATTTTAAGGAACAGAATATGAAAACTAGGTTAATAGGAAACCAGAAGAGGAAAACACTGAATGGCTGAAATGCCATGCATAGGCGCCGACTCTGTGGGTGCTCCGGGGCCGGGGCACCCACAGGTAAAAAATGCTGGGTGCTGAGCACCTACCAGCAGCTTCCCTATCAGCTCTCCCCCACCCTCTCCCAGTGCCTCCTGCCCACCGGCGGGCCCAGCGAATCAGCACCTTCCCATCCTTCCACCTCCCCAACCTGCCTCCTACCCGCCGCGATCAGCTGTTTCACAGCGCCCAGGAGGCTTTGGGGTGGGAGGGGAGAGGAGCAAGGACACAGTGCGCTCAGGGGAGGGGGCAGAACTGGGTGGGAAGAAGTGGGGCGGAAGTGGAGCGAGGGCGGGAAGAGGCTGGGTGGGGGTGGGGCCTTGGGGGAAGGGACGGAGTGGGGGCAGAGCCTGGGGCAGAGCCAGGGGTCGAGCACCCCCCAGCACTTAGGAAAGTCGGGGCCTGAGATGTCGTCATGTGCATTTTTATCATCTATTCTTGAAAATAACACAAAACACTGAACTGCAACCATAGTTACCTATAGAATAATTTATACCTTACTGCACGTAATTTGCTTATTTGTTTAATCAAGTAGTGACAAAGAGCAAAGTTCTAATGGTTTATTAATTTCAAAACAATCTGGAGGTGGAAACAGAGGGCCAAGTTTTCAGCTGGTAAAAAGTGATATCACTTCACTGGAGCTACAGTTTACACCTGCTGAGGATCTGACCGAGAGAGTTGTCATGTATGTTTACATCTATTTTACTGTATATAACAACTTAGATGTCCCAAAAAACACTGTTTTGTGAATCTAGTGATGTTGACAGAAACATGGGGCCGGGAATGATGGAACTGGATGGAAGCTAGCTGGCGGAGAGTCAGCCCACACAAGACTGAGGTTACACAGTGGGGGAGACTTTTTCATCTCCTATTATTTTGGGGGGAGTTTCTCTTTTTGTGATACAGCTTTACAACCTGAGGGTCTTACTGACTCCCACCTGCTCCAGAATGGTTTAGTAAGCAACAGTTGCAAAGAGTGCTTCATTGATACAGGGCTGTGACCTTTTCTCTCAGATGCAGACCTTACCTAAGTTAATCATGCCTTTCCCATCTGGAAAGTGGATTACTGAAATGTGCCCTACGTGGGGATATACTGGAAGGCCACAAATTTTGTTAGTGCAGAATTTGGCAGCCTGCTTACTTCACAGTGTTTCCCATAGAGAACACATTTAATCTGTGCTCAAGGACTTGAACTGGCTCCCAGATCATTTCCAAGTGCAATTAAAGGTGCTGATTTTAAGCTTTAAAGCCCTAAACGATTTGGGAACTATCTACCTGAGCGATCATCTCTCTCCTAATCGATATTGTGTCAACGGAGATGAGCTGAGATGCTTGTATAACTTTGGAACCTGTTTCCCACCTTGGTCTGACAGAGATTGAGCTGGGTGACTTTCTGAGCATACTGCAGGGTCCAAGTCATCAGAAAATGGTGGGTTGTGGATAGAGTGAGTTGAAATAAATTAGGTGGGCCAGTTTCCCATTGAAAAATGCTGGGGGGTTTTAACTGAAATATTTTGTGGGAACATGTCAATTTTGATAAAACATTTTATGACAAAAGTCAAAACGTTTCATTTCAACAATGTTAAAACATTATATTTTGACTTTGTTTTTTTTTATTTTGTTTTGATTTTGTTACATTAAATATTAATGTTAATATAATAATATATATTATATTTTAAATTCTGTATGTCGAAACTATGAAGCTAAAACAAACCACTTCAACTGTACTGAATCAATTTTTATGGAACTTTCATTTAAGTGGAAATTCAAAACTTCAGATTTTCATTCTGATTAGGAACAATTTTTTTCAAAATGTCAGAATATCCTGTGGAACAGAAATTCAGTTCCCAACCAGCTCTATTTATAGAGATTTAAAAGATATGTCAATATGTAAAGTATATATTATAAATATACAACTTCCCCGTACCTGTGCACAGCTCCACTTCTGAGGGTTACTTTTTCTGTCACCATTTCAAGAACATGATCCCATTGATTTAGTGTTTTTCTAGGAATGAAGAGGCGCACTGCTGGATTTATAAGGTCTCCATTAGCAATCAGACTGGAAGAATAAAGGAAAGTTAAATAATGTGTAGCTGTGTTTAAATAAAACTCAATAGAAACAAGAAAAAGATGATAGTGGATTACCTCCCCTAACTGAAAATCCTACTTACAAAATAGTGCATGGCTCTTGAAGTGGTTTTCGAAAACGTGCTGACACATTGATTCTACTGTGAGTAACTGGCTTCACCTGGAAGGACAAAAGTATATAGTCATTTATTCTGTCTTTATCTTAGGACAGGATTTTAAAAAAAAATTATTTCATTTTATTTTTACTTAACTCCTCTTTTTCCAGCAGTAGGTTTAACTAACTTCACACTACTGCCATCTGGCACTAAGTACCCTCTGTGGTACAGCAACATACTATAAAAAGAAAAGGAGTACTTGTGGCACCTTAGAGACTAACCAATTTATTTCAGCATAAGCTTTCGTGAGCTACAGCTCACTTCATCGGATGCATACTGTGGAAAGTGTAGAAGATCTTTTTATATACACAAGTACTCCTCTTCTTTTTGCGAATACAGACTAACACAGCTGTTACTCTGAAACCCAACATACTATAATGACTAGGGCCCTTCTTGAGGGAACTATATTAGGTTATAAAACTTGACCTTTTGCCTTCATGAAAACCTTATGCCCCCCAACCCTTATAAAGCTTTCCTCCTATCCCTCCCAATATGCAGGTGTTATGTCACCATAAGCATACACTGCCACAAAATCTGTACTGAAGTTCAGAGCTCTGCAGATGCCATTACTGACTTGTCAGTAAGTGCTGCTGAGTCACACAAGGGTCAGCCTCCCAAACTTCACCCCTGACTTCTGACAGTGTTTCAGTCTTAGTTCTCATAGTTCATGCCTACTGGTTCGGAAAGTTAAACCTGCATCTTCAATTCAGTATAATAGCTAAGTACCTCTAGGCCTCAGAGTTTAATAAATATTTTGCTCTTATACAGCCCTTTTCATCCAGCTCTTTTTATTATCAAAGCTCTTTACAAAGGTTGGTAAGTACGAGCCTCGTTTTACAGATGGGAAAAGGCACACCGAGGTTAAATGACTTACTCAAGTAGAAGCTTGTGGCATTCAAAATAGAACACAGGCTGCCTGATCTCCAGACATCGGCATTAATCACTAGACCATGCTGCCCCCCTTTTCAATAAACACTTTGTTCAAGGTGCTCAGTAGTCATGACATTAATATTGAATAGAAAGTTATCCAATGCTAGGTTTCCATATAGCATTCATCACATTCTTTCAAATTTTCAAGTAAAAAAAATAAACACATAAAAGGTAAACACATCTTCTTCCCCCCCAAAAATCAACTAAAGGGAAGACCTTAAATCTACTATAATTCACAAATCATTGAGCCAGGTGGGCTGAGAAAATCCCAAACAAACATCCAAAAATAAAGGAAAATGTATTTACAATCTCACAATACCCCAAGAAAGGGTTACAGGTTTGAAGGATTCAACACACCGTACTCACAAATAGAAACATGCTTTGCAATACTTATATAGTTAGCACAGGTTACATGCCCAATCATAGGATGAAAAATAGCCCATGCTTTAGTCCCTTATAAGTTTTATCAGTCCTCGTCCACACATACAAGTTGTATCAATTTAATTAATAAGCCTCATTTCAACTTGGGGAAAACTAACATTTATATCTTCAAATGGCTTTACAAACAAAAATTAATTCAACCTGAAAATGCCCTGTAAGTATTATCATCTGCCTTGTACAGATTGGAAAACTGACAGAGGTTAAGGGACCTACCAGATAGTCACAAATTTTAGGGTCAGGAGAGGTTATTATGACCATCTAGTCTAGGGGTCTCAAACTCAAATGATCACAAGGGCCACATGAGGACTAGTACATTGGCCCGAGGGCCGCATCACTGACATCCCCTCCCCCCGCTGCCCCTGTCCCCGCCCCCACTCCACCCCTTCCATGAGGCCCCGCCCCTGCCCCACATCTTTCCACCCCTTCCCTGCCCCCATTACAACCCCTTCCCTGGAGGGACCTCGAGAGGTCATCCAGTCCAGTCCCCTGCACTCAAGTATTATCCCAGGACTAAGTATTATCTAGACCATCCCTGACTGGTATTTGTCCAACCTGCTCTTAAAAATCCACAATGATGGAGATTCCACAACCTCCCTAGGCAATTTATTCCAGTGCTTAACCACTCTGACAGTTAGGAATTTTTTCCTAATGTCCAACCTAAACCGCCCTTGCTGCAATTTAAACCCATTGCTTCTTGTCCTATCCTCAGAGGTTAAGAAGAACAATTTTTCTCCCTCCTCCTTGTAACAACCTTTTATGTACTTGAAAACTGCTATCATGTCCCCTCTCAGTCTTCTCTTCTCCAGACTAAACAAACCCAATTTTTTCAATCTTCCCTCATAGGTCATGTTTTCTAGATCTTCAATCATTTTTGTTGCTCTTCTCTGGGCTTTCTCCAATTTGTCCACATCTTTTATGAAATCTGGCACCCAGAACTGGACATAATACTCCAGTTGAGGCCTAATCAGCATGGAGTAGAGCGGAAGAATTACTTCTCGTGTCTTGCTTACAATACTCCTGCTAATACATCCCAGAATGATGTTTGCTTTTTTTGCAACAGCATTACACTGTTGACTCAGATTTAGCTTGTGATCCACTATGACCCCCAGATCCCTTTCCACAGTACTCCTTCCTAGGCACATTTCCCATTTTGTATGTGTGCAACTGATTGTTCCTTCCTGAGTGGAGTACTTTGCATTTGTCCTTATTGAATTTCATCCTATTTACTTCAGACCATTTCTCCAGTTTGTCCAGATCTTTTTGAATTTTAATCCTATCCTCCAAAGCACTCGCAACCCCTCCCAACTTGGTATCATCCACAGACTTTATAGGTGTACTCTCTATGCCATTATCTAAATCATTGATGAAGATATTGAACAGAATCAGACCCAGAACCGATCCCTGTGGGACCCCACTCGTTATGCCCTTCCAGCATGACTATGAACCACTGATAACTACTCTCTGGGAATGATTTCCCAACCAGTTATGCACCCACCTTATAGTAGCTCCATCTAGGTTGCATTTCCCTAGTTTGTTTATGAGAAGGTAATGCGACAGAGTATGAAAAACCTTACTAAAGTCAAGACATACCACATCTACCGCTTCCCCCCTATCCACAAGGCTTGTTACCCTATCAAAGAAAGCTATCAGTTTGGTCTGCCACAATTTGTTCTTAACAAATCCATGCTGACTGTTACTTATCACCTCATTATCTTCTAGGTGTTTGCAAATTGATTGCTTAATTATTTGCTCCATTATCTTTCCGGGTACAGAAGTTAAGCTGACTGGTCTGTAATTCCCCGGGTTGTCCTTATTTCCCTTTTTATGGATGGGAACTACATTTGCCCTCTTACAGTCTTCTGGAATGTCTCCTGTCTTCCATGACGTTTCAAAGATAATTGCTAATGGCTCAGATATCTCCTCAGTCAGCTCCTTAAGTATTCTAGGATGCATTTCATCAGGCCCTGGTGACTTGAAGACATCTAACTTGTTTAAGTAATTTTTGACTTGTTCTTTCCCTATTTTAGACTCTGATCCTACCTCATTTTCACTGGCATTCACTATGCTAGACATCCAATGGCCACCAACCTTCTTGGTGAAAACCAAAACAAAGAAGTCATGAAGCACCTCTGGCATTTCCACATTTTCTGTTATTGTCTTCCCCCCCTCATTGAGTACTGGGCCTACTCTGTCCTTAGTCTTCCTCTTGCTTCTAATGTATTTGTAGAATGTTTTCTTGTTACCCTTTATGTCCCTAGCTAGTTTGATCTCATTTTGTGCCTTGGCCTTTCTAATTTTGTCCCTACATACTTGTGTTATTTGTTTATATTCATCCTTTGTAATTTGACTGAGTTTCCACTTTTTATAGGACTCTTTTTTGAGTTTTAGATCATTGAAGATCTCCTGGTTAAGCCAAGGTGGTCTCTTGCCATATTGCCTATCTTTCCTATGCAGTGGGATAGTTTGTTCTTGTGCCCTTAATAATGTCTCTTCGAAAAACTGCCAACTGTCTTCAGTTGTTTTTCCCCTTAGACTTGCTTCTCATGGGATTTTACCTACCAACTCCCTGAGTTTGCTAAAGTCTGCCTTCTTGAAATCCATTGTCTTTATTGTGCTGTTCTCCCTCCTACCATTCCTTAGAATCGTGAACTCTACCATTTCATGATCACTTTCACCCATGTTGCCTTCCACTTTCAAATTCTCAACCACTTCCTCCCTATTTGTCAAAATTAAATCTAGAACAGCCTCCCCCCTAATTTTCAGGTTTATCTACAGCATATCTTTTAGAAAGACATCCAGTATTGATTTAAAGACTTCAAGAGATGGAGAATCCACCACATAGTTAGGAAAATTGTCCAATGGCTAGTTACCCTGACTTTAAAATGTGCATCTTGTTTCTACTCTGAATTTCTCTAGCTTCACCTTCCAGTCATTGGCTCTTGTTATGTATTTGTCTGCTAAATTAAAGATCCTTCTCTATCAGAAATGTTCTCCCCACATAGGTATTTATAGAACGTGACCAAGTCACCTCTTAACCTTCTCTTTGATAAACTAGAATTAGCTACTTTTTTCTCTCCCCATAAGGCAGGTTTTCCAAAGTGTGGACACCAGAACTGGACACAGTATTCCAGTAATGGTCTCATTAAGACAGTATATATTATACATCTCCCTGCTTCTACTTGATATTTCCCTTAGACATCCAAAGATCACATTTGCTCTCTTAATCACCACATCACACTGCTGAATTCATTCAGGGTGAATAAATGGGCCCAAGTCAAAGGTTTTAACATGATCCTGTAACTGTCCAACCCTAAGCAGTTTTAAACAAGGTTTGGTACACAGAGACTTCAGTCTGCTTTTGTACTATGGCAAACATCCCGTTAAAAATCTTGTAACCCTTTATTAAAAATACTAAAAAGAAGGAAAAACAGTTATAGCATTTGAAATGTTAAGTAAGGTTTTCATTTAAGCATCCATCATTCCCTATCACTTTAACTGTAGAGAGCCTTTAGAAGGGGGTGGGAAGGAAACCTTGTTTGACAGTCTATCAGATAATATTAAAGTTGGTAATAACTGTCCTTTTGGGGAGAAGAGAAGCCATTAGTTGAAATGGGCTGGAGCTGTTGTTAAAGTC